CTGATAAAAGAGGACATTGAAAAGCATGACATAGACGTCTGCCACAGAGTTCCTACTGCTAGGCATGACCAGTCCAACATTATTGTTCGTTTTGTCCGCCGAGACAAAAGGAATGCAATTCTTGCTAAATCAAAGAAGACGAGACTAGACACAAAAATGCTTGGATTCGACAAGCAGAATCCAGTGTTCATCAATGAGCATTTGACGAAAGAAGCTAAGCAGCTGCTCGGAGCTGCCATCAGAAAGAAAAGAGCTGTTAACTGGAAATTTGTGTGGACAGCTGGCGGAAAGATTTTCGCACGGCGAAATGAAACCGCACCTGTGCTTCGCCTAATCTGTTTGGATGATGTTGATAAAATGGTCGAGTGAATGCCACAGTCTAGCTGAACACAATTTTGTGCACTAATTACTGACATACATGGCTAATTCCGGTCTCAACTGCTGTACTTATCACGATTATGACTCGTTTAATATTTCTGTTTCTAAGTTAAATCCAAATAAGTTCATGGCAGCCTTGCATTTAAACCTACGAAGTATTAGAGACAAAGGAGATGACCTGCGAGAATTTCTTGAAAATATGGACATTAGCTTCAATGTGTTGATGTTTACTGAGACATGGCTAACGCAAAGTGAAAAGCCGCCTCAATTAGAAGGGTACACATACCAAGGCATCACACGTACTAATGGGCGTGGTGGCGGCGTGGCTATGTATCTTAGAGAACATCTGCAATACGAAGTGATTTCAAGTTTCACCACTACTAACGAACATATAGAATGTCTTACGGTATGTTTGAAATCTTTTTATGTATGTGTCATATATCGGCCCCCAAACGGAAATAAGACGCCATTCTTTGAATTCACTGATGAACTATTAAACTATCTAACTAACACTGGTTCAAAGTTTCTGATAATGGGTGACTTGAATATCAACATGCTGGGAAATGACACTAGTGCGCGTGAACTTAAGCGAACTCTATATGCTTATGGCTGTGAAAATTTTATCAATCTAGCCACTCGTATTACAGCGGATAGCGCGACGTTGCTAGATGTCGCCATTACAAATGCACCTGGCACAAGTAGCTATGCTGGCCTCTTATCAGTGGACATAAGTGATCATTTGCCGATATTTTGTTTCTTGCCAATGACAAATGATAAAAGCATAAAAATGGGCGTGTGCACATATCGGAATATAAACCCAAATTCTTTAGCTCATTTCCGCTCTCTGATCCAAAAGACAAACTGGGAACCGATTTTCCAGCAAAGTGATGTAAATAAAGCATATAACAATTTCTATGCCAGTTTCATGTCATGCTACGAGCTAGCCTTTCCTATTAAGACAACTAAGCGTACCCGGAAGAAAAAGATTAGAAAGCCATGGATTACGCGGGCACTTTTAAATAAGATTGCCGCTAAAAATAACATGTATCATTCTTTCGTTAAGACGCGTGACCCACAAAAGTTTGCTGAGTTCAAAAAATATCGAAATAAGCTCAATGCAGAACTTAGATATGCTAAAATCTGTTATTATGAGAATTTGTTCTCCCAAGTAGCAAATGACAAAAAGAAGTTCTGGCAGGCGGTTAACAATCTTGCTCAAAGAAAGAATGACGCAGCGCCAATAGTTGTAACTACAAATCAAGGCATCCTAAATGATGACGAAGCCGCTAATATGTTAAACCACCAATTCATTCGTAGTGGAGAGTACAGTTCGACTGTGCGCTATGAACATCCAAGTGTAGATGCGTATAAAAAAAAAACCAGTTCAAGTAATTCTATTGTACTGGCACCAGCTACGGAGCACGAACTGTCAAACATCATGCGTAACCTAAAAAACAATGCAGCTGCAGGCTACGACGATATCAAACCAGCTGCCGTGAAATATGTAATGGATATAATTTGCAGTCCTTTAACCCACGTCATTAACTGCATGCTCGAACAGGGTGTGTTTCCAGAAGCACTCAAGCTGGCTAGAGTGTGCCCGGTGCACAAAGGTGGCACAGACTACACTTTTCATAATTACCGCCCTATATCGGTATTACCAGTCATGTCAAAGATTTTTGAGACAGTCATAAACGTTCGCGTTGATGGTTTTGTTCAAAAGTACTCTATTATGTCTGACGTGCAATATGGGTTTCGAAAAAAAAGATCCTGTGAAGAAGCATTACTTTCTATAAAACATGAAATAATAAATAACATTGAACAAAGATTATACACCATTGGTCTTTTTCTAGATTTAAGCAAAGCTTTTGATTCTGTGAGCCACGCCATTTTGTTGACTAAGATATATGATTGTGGGATAAGAGGGATAGCACATGACTTGATTCGAAGTTATCTACAAAACAGGTATCAGTATGTATCTATTAACAATTCCAAATCTACGAAATTAAAGATACTACAAGGCGTCCCGCAGGGATCTATACTTGGACCCTTGTTGTTTAACTTGTACATAAACGATCTTGCTTATATACCATATTCCCAAAGTGTAATTATGTATGCTGATGATACAAATGTATTTTTTGCTGGAAAGTCGCTGCAAATGCTACAAATTTCAATAAATAATTACTTAAAACTACTTATGTCGTGGTTGCACAGCAACCAATTGCAACTCAATGTCAATAAAACAAAATACATTATTTTTGCCCCTATTAACAAGCCGATCAATTTTAAGCTAGCAATACTGTTTCAAAATGTGCAAATAGAACAGGTAGAGGCTCATAAATTCCTGGGCATATGGTTTAGAGGCGATATGTCCTGGACGACACATGTGGAAAAATTGTCCGCTGAACTGAGTAAAATCACGGGATGCTTTAATAAAATCCGGGATCTGATACCGCTCTGGCTTAAAAAAGTATTATATTACTCCATGTTCTACTCTCGCCTTACATATTGCATGCTAGTCTGGGGTACAACATACTCAAAGAATTATCAGAAATTGATAATATTGCAAAAGAGAGTCCTTAGATGCTTTGAAAACTACACAGGTAGGCTTCGAGATTTGCGAACGCATGATTTGTTTATTAAACACAATTTGCTAAAAGCTAACCAAATGTACTATTATAGAATATTTCAGCATATAAAAAAGAACAAGCTCTACACAGCTAAATCACCCCAATCAAAATGTCGTTATTCTCTACGCAATGAAACTAGGGTAATACCGAAGTTCCGAACAGCTTATGGCCGGCAGCATATAGGCTACCAGGTTCCGCATTTAATAAATCACCTAAGCCCCCTTGATTTTAATACTATGTCGAAAAAATCTATGAAACTGTATATTATAAATCATCAATTGGAATATGTATGATGCGTATCTTTTTTCGTGTCATACTGTTATGTTTTTTGTTTTTTTTCACAAATGAATAATGCCATTCACACTCGTTGCCTATGTTATATTTTACTGAAGTCAGTATATTTTATTCTGTATAATAATAATCTTATGTATTTTGCGACTGTTTATTGTGCATATTTCTTTGGTATTCCGGGCTGCTTATCCGGATTGATTTGATTTAACCTACATGTTATCTTTTTATCATGTATTATTCATCAGATGGTCTGTATACTGCTTATATGATCTTTAATTTCATATGAATTTCTGTGATGAATTTTGTATTGCCATATGTACCGCTGATGCTGAGTGCCAACAGGAGTGGGAGCCCTTTGTCAGGCCTTTGTAGCCTTTTGCTCCTGCTCCTTGTTTCTGTAATGGAAGCAAAATAAACTTCAAACTTCAAACTTCAAACTTCAAACTTCAAAAAAGGACACATCCTGTGTGGAATAATATTGCCTGTAAGGATAAAACAATGAACGTGGGGTGTTGCTGGATGCTATAGATTGACAAGCTAGTTTGCCCTGGTGGCTGCGGTCATGAGGACAAATTATATTCATTGGTCGAAATACGGCTCGCGACACCACGTGTTCCCAGATTTTGCACTAAGATGGTAAGAGTACAAAGCAGTCGTCGTCGTAGTAGTAATAGTAATAGCCTATTGTTTTGGCGGAGATAGACTAGTAGTGACAGTGATAGCCGTAGGAGTAGCTGCAGTTGAAAGTTTGGGTTGTGTGATCAATTGGTTGAAAGAAGAAACTCCCAGGTAGCATTTTCGCAAAGCGACATCTCTTTTTAAGCAATCATTATTCAGAAAACTTAGTGTACTGTTGCGTAGTCTCTTACAGTTATTGCATGGGTGCCTGGTTTCAGATACTCTTCACACCGTCAATTAGGCGATATACAAATTAATAAATTATGACCAAAGCCTATATATAGAGTTCATATATTACAAAAAACATTTTATTTATTCGAAGATCCAGCAGTCTTGCAGCCATTAGGAAATCATCGTGGGGTGGAACTGTGTGCGAATCTGCTAGAATCAATCTGCAACGTTCGAACAGCTCCCATAGTCCCACAGAAAGGAACCAATAACAATGCACTAAAAATGCATGTAAGTCAGGAAGATGAATATGGTTGATTACATTCACCCCGACCCTAAAGAAGTTTTCAGAGCCTTCGAATATGAACAGCAAGGTACTAGAGGTAATGAATTATGTTTTAATAACATACGCTGTTGACTTTATCTGACTGTGGAACTGAAGCTAAAATGACAAAGAACTGTCAGGGCAAAGCCAATAATTTGCCCGCTAAAGGGCAAAAATTTCATGAAATATTCTCCAAAAGTAGCATGTTGAGCAAAATGCAGACAAAAACGAACAGGCTTGGCGTCAATGACAAAAATGCTTCTAAATAAGTTTTTATGCAAACTTCTGTTTTTAGATAGTTGCACAGCCGCTGTGTACGAGCATGTTATCATCCCAAAGAACAACGGCCATGACAATAGAGGTAAAACTGCTTCGCATACATTAGCCCATCTCATATCCTGTACTCAAAGGCGTGAGTTTGAATATTACTGGCGTAAGTTGAAAGTTTGGTTATTGTCCAAGTGCACATGTCTACAAGAAATCATCTGCGTCCTTGAATAAAGAGGTGATGAAAAAGAGCGAGGACGTACCGCTGTCTTGGGACATGACGACTACAAAACTCAAAGAGGCCATGAGCATTTTCAAACATAATTGCATTTTACTGCACCTATGTGAAATTCTCCGCCTCAGCAATCCTTCAAACTTTCTTGAGTAGCTTGAGCCGACGCGACCGCACGCCAACTCTTTCACAAAGAAGTTCGTCATGCGTTTTGTGCCCTTCCTAACAAACGAAGGTTCAGATGTTCGAGCTCGTCACATGATTTTTTATTACAGCACTGTAATCTTCGAAGCACTAGTGAACACATTGCGCAACATACAGAAGCACATCACGCCATTCAGTCTGACCGTTGTGGAATCGTCATTTATTATGAGAGGATGAGCGCTTAAGCAGGCAGTGCTACTAATGCTCAGAGATAGCAGACGAAGGACACGTGCACCAGGGTTTCATTTGCACAAGATTAGGTCGCACTCGGCTCTCATGCTTCTGTCTTTGCCTGTGCCAACTCTTCGGAGATTAGCTTTTTTGTTTGTCCTCTGAGGTAAAATATATTATTATATTGGGATGGCACAGCAGTGTTCACTCCTGCAGACATATTTACAATATTTTAGTCTGCCAAAGTGTTATATTTAGCGAGGAATGAGCTCACTTTGTTCAACCCAACACAAACAGAATGTAGTGTAAAAATGCTATGACAGTCTAAAACGTAGCCATCATCGCAAACAAAGCAATTGTAGCCATAGCGAAATAGACTTTTCTGCATCTAAAGTGATGTTGAGAGGAATATTGAAAAGAATCAACTTTTCACTTGGTTGTCTATATGGAAGCTGCTTATGTGTGAAAATTGGAGTCTTTTAGCAACTTCGCTTGAGACAAACAAAGACAAAGCAAGCAGGATAAACAAACGAGCACGATTAGCGCTCGTTTGTTTATACTACTTGCATCGTACTTGTTTGTCTTGCGCCATGTCACTAAAAGGTGAATTCGTTCCAGCAAGGTCGGCTTGCAGTTTTGCCTAAGGTTAGTTATAGGCTGTCACAACTCAAGGCATGCCGCTTTTAGCAATGGAGCTATATAAGCTCTTCCTAATTTGCCTGTCGGCAAGAGAAAATGTTCATCATTATTAACCGGCGCTTGCTGTCCTCATCTTTTTCTTCATAGAAAGCGTAATCTTCATTTCCTGGTTTCCTCCCAGAACACTTGCGGGAATTTACCCGCCACGGGCTACAATCAGCTGATGGCAGTGAGAACTATTACAGACGGAGAGGGAAAGAAATATGAAACAAAAGGAAGAGGAAAAGATACAATGTTACAAAGAAACTGAAAAGGCCTCGGCGAAAAACATTTATTTGCGAGGTTTGAATCAGTGTTTTTCCGAACCAAAGGTGTGCATCGTAACGACTTCGCTATTCAGACAATATAGAAGAGGTAAGCTTAGTTTTGTAGGGCGTAGTAGAGCAGAATGGTAGGGAAAAAGTGAGGCTGCGGAGGAGAGATATAGGGGTGATGAGGAGACAAAGGAGTGCGAAAGGGTGAAGCTTAGCCTGGGGAGATTGAAGAAGAAAAAAATAGAAATTAGAAAAAAGAAAAGAATCAAGGAAAGCAACAGAGGAATAAGAATAGATGAAATAAATAAAGAGGAAGCAAGCAAGGAAGCGAGCGAGAGAGAAAGGATACGAAGAAAGACAATAGAAGAGGAACAAAGAGAGAGAGCAACAAACAAAACAAGGACTGATAACAAATTGTGAGGAAGAAGAGGAAAACGGGAGTGCGTAAAACATAGCATAGACAGAATGAGGAAAAGAAAACTATAGACAAACAAATGTAGGAGAGAGAAAAGAAAAGAGAAAGAAGGGGATACAAAGAAAGATATTGGTAAAATAGAGAAAAACAATGTTAAAATTGAGGCAGCACGTATGATGTAGGAAGATGGATATAAAGAAAAAAGTAAAGAACAATAAAGAAAGCAAGAGAAAAATTAAAAATATAGCAAGAAATTGATACAAAGAAAGTACAGAAAAACGAAAGGGAAAAGAAAAAAACTAAACGGAAACGAAGGAGGTCATCAAGCTGAGCACATATTTTAGGCTTAGAAGCACTCTGCAAACCTGCCTTGATTTTGGTTTAAATTAGAGAAAACGGACATAACTGTACCTCTTGATGAACATTAAATTTGAATTGTGGTATTGAAACCGAGCATGTCTGGTGCCCAGCAAACACAAAAGCTGTGTTGCTTTGAACTGAAAAGAACCGCAACGTGCACGTGAGTAAGGACAAATAAAGGTGCAATAATTAGGGGAAAATGGCGCGATTTCTGCAATTTATTGACCCCACTTACTCCACTTCCAAGATCTCGCAAACAATCACTGCTTTAAGCCACCCGATATCCCAGTGAAGCTCGTTTGGAGCATTGGCCACATATCTTAGATTGTCAGACTACGTGATGTTGCTGTTAAGTTTTGCACAATTCTGACTGGAACTGGGCAATTAATTCACAACACTACCACACTGTCTAGTTCTGTAGAGTATCAAATTGACGATGCATACGCTTTTTCACATGCTCAACAGGATAACACGTATTCTCTACTAGAATTGCGTACTGCTCTATCACTAACACGCGTAAGAACGGCCACCGGTTCAGACAACGTGTCTACAGAGAAATCTAGGCCCCAATGACATGCTAGTTCTCCTACGGGTATATAACGACATGGGAACGAAGTCATACGGTTTAATTGCTGGAGGGTCGCGAGAATCATCCCACGGCTAAAGCCTGGCAAATCTCCGCTTTTGCTTGACTAATTTTGACCAGTCAGCCTCTCTAGCTGGTATCTAAAGTCATGAAAACAAATAATTGACAGAAGGTTACAGTCATGCATTGAAGCTAAAAACTTTCTTTCAGAGCAGCTGGCTGGCTTCAGATGACAGCGATGCACTATAGACTGCATCTTTGACCTTGTTACATTTCTGAAACACGAGACGAGCTGAGGAAACATTGCTGATGCGGCGTTCATAGACATAATACCCCTGTCACACGTGGCAGCTTAAGTGCACTTTGAGCGAGTGTACTTACGCTCACAAAGTGTCATTTCGGCGGTTCACTGCTACACGAAAAAGCGAAGTGTACTTTGGAAGTGATCACAGTGGTGATTGTTGGATTTGTAGAACAATACGTATCGGTTACTTTTGCACCAGTGTCTCATCGTCGGACCACGTTGTCTTCGTGGAAGTAGCACGGGTGGCACACACCATTGTGAACGACTGGAGAACGACTCGCCTACACATGTGCTAGTGTGGCTGTAAGTAAACAACGCAACGTACGTGGTCATTGCACCACATGTGCTGCCACATCCCCGTAGCGGACGTGGCCGCAAACTGCTTAAGAGGGAGAGAGTACCGAGAATTTTCGTTGATTTATGACTTGTTTTAATACATAGAAAAAATCCTTTATAGCAAAAATAATAGTTTAAAAATAGTTTGAGCGCCGCTTTAGGCAACAGCGTATTTCTGTGCAAGCCACTGGTATCGAGGCTACACACTTGGTCGCAGTGAAGTGAGGTTGGGGAACGTACTTGCCGGTAAGTGTACGTAGCAACGAGTGACACTCAACTTGCTCGTGTGACAGCACTCAAATTGACCCTCGCGGCTAAGTGTACTCGATTGAAGTGCACTTAAGTTGGCACGTGTGACAGGGGTATAAAAAAGGCGTTCGACTCTGTCAGCCACCAGTCTGTGCTGTTCGGGCTTACTTCCTTAGGGGTTCATGGTCGCATCCTTCAATGAATTGGCAACTTCTTGCGCAACAGGCAAATATAACTTTCTAGAAATAACGAATAGAGCGATCGCTTCAAAGTGAGAAGAAATATACCTTTAGGAAGTATTTCAAGTCCGCTTCTTTTCAATGCTGCATTGCCAGGTCTTCCAGAAGAGCTGCCTGAAGTCTTGAACATATCTATGTATTCAGACGACATGTATATGCATATGGGCGTCTCAGAAATTATTGGAAGTGATTAAACATCGGCTTCAGCAAGGACTAAATGCGATAAGTGATTACCTGAAAGCGCGTGGCATATAGAGTTCTCCCGTCAAATTAGTAGTTTTGCCGTTCACTAGAAAGGCAGTCAAAAACTTGAAACGTTTTGTGGATGGCTAGAGAATCGAAATTGCATGAAAACATCGGTTCCTTGGTTTTACCTTAGACAGATGAAGTCAGCACATTGTCAATATAGAAAATCAAGTGAAGTGCATCATAAATGTTATACGTCGCATAGCGAAAACGAAATGGAGTGGAGCATCAGCGTCTCTACTGCACTTATTCGACAGAAGATCGCCTATTCCGCGCCAGTGCTCCACAACATCTCTCAAACGTCTTTACGCCAACCTCAGCTGTTACAAGTACGAATCTTACGCATACGTTTGGGTTACCACAGGCATCATCGAGTTCTCTGACACTGGCAGAGGCAATAGAACCCAACTTTGCAGTAACTCAAAGTATGGAGACCTGTTGGCACTCCTTTCGCCAAGTGACACAACAGGCTTCACATCCAGTCATATCAAACATTGTGAACCGTGCCAGAGCATAAATACACCATGTGTACCAACATTGCATTTCCAAGCTTCCCGTGTCAAAACATTGGCCACTGAACCTAAACCACCCACCGTTGCTACTTGACCTACCAACTATTAAAACGTCAAGAGGACTTCGCAGAAAACATGAAGTGCCAATCATTGCCGTACAGTAGCTGGCTCCACATAATCTGCTTGACAGGTTCCAAGGATACACTCACGTGTACACTGATGGCACCATCGCCAAAGAAACAGCGACATCGGCATTCATAGTTCAAGAATTACACGAAGAATATGCATGTTTGTTGGGCCATCTCTCCCCTTCAACAACGTTGGAGCTCATGGCGATATTGCTGGCCATAAGCTTTAATAATTTGTCAACGACACCAAGAAAATGGGCGATAATTACAGACTCTATGGCGTCACTCGCATGCGCAGAAAATGACACGTCAAGACACATTGATGTGCGTATAGCATACGCTATATGAAAAGAATTTTTAAAGCTATGAAGGCGAATCATCGAGTGGCATTTCAGTGAGTTTCCAGTCACTACGGAATCAAGGGAAATAAAATTGCAGATGAGTTGGCAAAAACCGCTCATCATTCTACGCAAACCCGCCTTATTCCTAAATCTCAATAAGTTGTAAATAGAATT